TCCAACTTCTCTCTCTTATTACCTCAGATTGTATAGAAGTCTATGAGGAAATGTTCCTACTTCTCTCTCTCTTTATTACCTCTGATTGTAGAGAAGTCTATGAGGAAATGTTCCTACTTCTCTCTCTCTTTATTACCTCAGATTGTATAGAAGTCTATGAGGAAATGTTCCTACTTCTCTCTCTCTTTATTACCTCAGATTGTATAGAAGTCTATGAGGAAATGTTCCTACTTCTCTCTCTCTTTATTACCTCAGATTGTAGAGAAGTCTATGAAGAAATGTTTCTACTTCTCTCTCTCTCTTTATTACCTCAGATTGTAGAGAAGTCTATGAGGAAATGTTCCTACTTCTCTCTCTCTTTATTACCTCAGATTGTAGAGAAGTCTATGAGGAAATGTTCCTACTTCTCTCTCTCTTTATTTTAGAGAACATGTTCTTAATAAACCATTTAGAGCTAAACTAATATTTCTGAGCTCAACACTTTTTTATTGTCTTCTATATTTTCATGTTGCATCGTTGGAGGACCTTCTAGCTGCTGTGATGATACAACCGTTGAGTCTTTTGAACATGGAGTACACAGTGTGAGTATTAGTACCTGTCTGTGGGGTGGAGGCAGACAGACAGGCAGGATGAGCTCACTGAACTCCAGCGGCTCCGTCAGCCTCAGCAGGGCGATGTCGTTGTTGTAGTTGTTGGGCTGGAAGTGTGGATGGAGGAGGACTTCCTGCACGGAGCGGTTGGTGGCCAGCCTCTGGTCTGCAGCGTCCAGGAGTCCCAGAAACACCTGAAGGCCTCACAGCAGTCAGTCATGGAGATATACAGTACATTCAATTCAAGGCTTCATCACCAGCTACAGTGGAATGAAACACTTACAGGCTCCTCAACAGTGACATCAAACTAATAAAACCGATACAACAGTGTAAAATAGAAATAGTGCAAGAAGAGTCCGTCGAACATGACTTCACAAAGAAATTACAGAGAAGACATTACTGCAACAACTTTGATGTATTCTGTATTTGTAGATTTTATTAATGATGCAGGGGGATAACTCCTGATAAAAAGAGTGTGAACGAGTCTGAGAAGGACCTGGTTCTGACGTTCAGACCTTGACGTGTTGGGGGGCCACGGGGACCAGCTGTTGTGGGTACAGACCTTGATGTGTTGGGGGGCCACGGGGACCAGCTGTTGTGGGTACAGACCTTGATGTGTTGGGGGGCCACGGGGGCCACGCTGTTGTCTCTGCGCTGGGACCTCAGCAGGTGGGCGGCGGTCAGGATCCAGGATGGGGACAGCAGGGCTCCAGAACCGAACCAGCGGTCCTCTGGGACCCGGGACCGGTCCTCCACCTGGAGCAGAACCTGCCAGGGGAACAGGCCCGGCGTGGCCCCCCGGCCCCCCACGACCCGCTTCACCTGGGGGGGCAGGGGGCGGCCCGGGCGTCCACATTCTGGGGAGGTTGAATAACTGCTTAATGTACTGATTGATGTGGTAGAAGTACATGTTATCAGATATATGCAGTATCTCAGTGTTAAAGATCTCTTACTATATACAAATATACAAAAACATGTCTCTGAAGTGTCCTGCTCCAAACCCCAAACAGACCCTTGTAGCCCCCCCTCTCTTCCAGCTGTTACTAAAGAGCTGTGTGACGGAGCGGATCACAGAGTGACTGACAGCCGACACAAACACACACACACACACATACGTCACAGACCAAACATTTCCTGCTCTCTTCCGTTTGTCGTGCGGCCGCTGTCTCCCCGGCAAAGGGAATGTGGAAAAGACGGAGGCGCATCACTTCCGTGATTTAAATAGGATGTCATGAACCATGCAATTTCTTTCTTTCTTTTACGTTTGTTAATTATGGGGAATGATTGTGTTAAGAGGTAGTTAACCTGTTTATGTTTGGGTCGGAGTTTTATGTTGACAATGTGGTTTTGAGTTAATTGTGTCCCCGGTTAACTTGACGGTAAGCCTGGGGGTAGGGGCTATATGGGTTCAAAAGGGACGGTGTTGGCCCTGGAGGAGGTCACTCGGGAGAATGTTCCAGTGAAGGCAACAGCCAGAGCATGTTTACTCTCCATGAGTGATGGACGGC